TGTGGGCACGATCGTCGTTCAATGTGGAGCTTCAGCTGCCGCCACTTCGTGAAGCTTCTGTGGCACAAGCGACACGTCGGCATGCCATCAATAGCATGTTCTTTAGCTGAGAAGATGACTGCAGGGCCTCGAGCTTGGCTGTGGTCTTTGTGATGTAGGCCTATATGGATTCGCAGTGCATGCTCTGTCGGGAGTTTCCTGTCACAGTGGGGACAAACGACCCCAAGAAGTGGCTCCGAGTCTTGATCGGCAGCCTGTGTCGTGGCCCGTTCTGCTGTCAGCCTTGACAGCTGCACGTGATGCTGGGCAATCAGCCCCGACATCTGAAGTAGAACCTCATCATTGCAGGTGATGTCAGGCCCATGGCAGAGTTGGGCAGGGTCTTTGGTAGACATGAACCGTTGCATTCTATCTGTGAGCTGCACTTCCGGGGTGATGAGAGCTGCATTGATCCATATTTGATGGTTGGAGATGTGGGAGAGATGGGCTGGCTGCTTAAGAATAGCACGGAGATGACGGGTGCACAAGACGTGGAGTTTACGAAGGCCATTTAGGGTACAACCAACAACCTCAAGAGAGTACAGAAGGGAGCTGTTGATGCAAGCCGTCCACAATCTCAGGCGGTGCTTCACGCTCAGTGGGTTTCGCCCATTGAGAACCTTACGAATTTGCTGATAGCGGCTTTGTGCAGCACTGATCCGGTGGGCCACGTTGAGATCTCGGCGATTTTTGTAGGCAATCTTTGTCCCTAGGTACACATGCGAATCGCATATCTTGAGGAGCTGCTCCTTCCCGTTTACCTGAATGCGTAGGTGCGGGGCTCCCTGTTTGTACACAATGCGATCCTTGAGGATTTTGCGGGCTTCCTTCCCCTTAACATGCATCAGGAGGGCTGTCTTCTGCAGATTGACCGTAAGCTGGAACTGAGCAAGTACCCCCAAGAGTAATTCGAGGTCACTCAAGGCTCTGAGGAGATCACCGCTGGAGGTGATGTTCCAACAGCTGCACAGGTCATCGGCGAAAGCTGTAAGGCACCTGTGAAGCCAAGCTAGGCTTCGACGCTGGGCAAGGACTTCCATGATGGAGAGAGTGAGGCTCAACCACAGGGTGGGTGCCACACGACAACCCTGCTTTATTCCGCACGTGGTGACTACCTGACCGGTTTCCTGACTGAGTCGGAAGACATATCTAGCAGACTTGTGCAGTTGCTGAATGGCACCAATGACATCACTTGAGACCCCGTGTTCCTGGAGGGAGGTAGTCAGTTTGTTCCGGCACACAGAATCAAAGGCTTTTGACAAGTCAAGAGATAGACAGACCCCGCCATAGCATTTGAGACGGGTCGTGCCCGACCGAAGATTAAACCGATTGCTGGCCTGGCTTTGGTGAAGCAGCTCCACCTGTTCGAAGTGTTGATGGACACGGAGGATTGCATCACTGCAGCCACGATGGGGGCTGTATGCAAATTGTGGCATGTGATCAAGGACAGGCTGAAGGTGGGCCTGAATTTCCTTGGCGAGGGCGGCTGCAATGGCCTTGGCACACGGCGGCATAAGTCCGATTGGACGGAGGGCACTGACCGTGATTGGTGGTTTGCCTGGCTTTTCCAGCCAAACTACATGTGCATCTCTGAGGTCTCCAACAAGCTGTGCGGTGGATCCTTGCGCAAAGTGACTGGTGAGCAAGGGCCCAAGTCTGTCGCTGACAGCGTGGCAGCAGAGCCTCCAGGAGGCAGCCGGAGCGCAATGACTCGGCACGGCCTTGCGAACGTTAAGCTTACTTAGGGCTTGGGAGAAAGTGTGGCTACCGAAGTCCAGGGTACCTTGCTGTGGAAGCTGGGGTAGCGAGTCCGGGCTCGCTGCAAAGGTGGCATTGCCATAGGCCACAATGGCCTCCATAGCTGCACTGCTGCTTAGGCCTTTCCCTTTTGAGTCCTGCAGCCTGATTGTTCCCCTGTGGCTTCGAGGAGCCAGTCGCCTAGCCACTTGAAACATGGCTCTCTGGTCACCCTGGGAAGCTGCCTGCTCCGCCTGCGCAATTTGATCCTGCAGGAATTGCTTCTTCAGGGCCAGGCTTTGAGCCCGCAGGGCCTTGGATGCCCGCAGGAAGGCAGTGTAGTGCTTTAGGCGATCGAAGATGTTACGAACTAGCAGTAAGCCCGATTTCTTGAATCGGCTATGCAATGCCCATGTAGCACGTGCTGAGGCCCGGAACTCGGGTTGTGCACTGATACGGCAGTCCGTGTGACCTGCCGGAGGGAAGAACTTCCGGGTTTCTTCCAGCAGGATGCAGTTCACTGCATCGTGTTCCGCACACAGATCAGGGCTCGGCGGTTGTTGCTGAAGGCGCTGTGCCACAGCGTCTGCCAGGGCCTGGGCCTGGGCAGAGTTGCACAGGACTGCCGTTTGCAGGGCAGCTGCGTTATGTGCACTGACGATCCTACTCTGACAATGTGGCTGGAATTCGTACGGGAGTAGCTGCATGCTGGTTTGCAAAGGCAGATGATTGGTACAGCGATGTGCTCCCACTGGGAAGCCCGACAAGGGCGAGGAATGTCGAGCTCCTCTGTTGGAGTCCTGCAGTCTAACTATGATATAGTCTATTTGGCTCTGTGTTCCGGGTGCCACGAACGTGTGAGATGGCCTGGCATGCCAGGTGTTGGCTGCCGTGAGGCGGTGTTCTCGCAGCATTGCCTGAAAGGTCGAGTCATAGTTGTTGTGAGACTGTCGGCTAGGGGCAGCAGGTCCAACATAGGGGTGCTCAGGCTGTAAGGTAGAGTTGAAGTCCCCCGCGATAAGCAACATGTGCCTGGCTGGGGTGGCTCCAATGAGCTGTTGCAGCTTGTGCCACACCTGGCCGCGGATTTCTTTGTTCTTTTGGGTTCCTAGGTGGGGCCTATTGACGTGTTGGTAGACCCCTAACATAGTGATAGTGCGTCGGCTGGCGAGATGCTGGGCTTGTACTTGCAAGATGCGGCCCGGAACAGCCTCTCTGACACTCGGTATGTCAAAAGACTTGCTGGGGAGCAGGCACAGGATGCCAGCATATCGATCAGGCTGGTCGGTGCTATAGCCTGAAGTATGTATGCAGTGCCAGCGGCCACTCTTGTAGTCTGGAGTCTCGCGCCAATGTGTTTCAATCAAGAAGATGGCATCATAGTGGGCTTGTGTCTCACACCAGGCCATAAATTCTTGAAGCATACCCGAATTCATGCCCCCTGTATTCCAAACCAAAACCGAGAAGTTCGGAGCCGGCCTTGTGCGATTGATGTTCGGCTTCTTGGCAGTCCTGTGGGCAGGGGCTGATGCAGCTTGACCTAGGGTGGTTAGGGTATGCCATTTGCCTCGATACCAAGTACCACCATTGAGAGCCTGGGCAGCTCTTTTGCAGGCTCGATTGAATGCTCTTTTCGTGCTCTTGGGAAATGAGTGTGGTTCCCCGCCTCTTTGCGCTGGGCCGCTCGGCTTCCCCACTGGCTGGAAAACTCCAGCTGTGAGTCCCTCCTCTGTGGCGGCAGCAGAGGACACCCTCACTACCATGGCATACCAGACTAACCATTTGGGAGGTCTGAGTACTAGCCCATGGTCTCCGGACTTGGGACCGGAGCAGCTATGTGTCGCCTGGTGAACAGGCAGACTGCAGCTAATGACGGAATGTACTGGCTCATCCTTTGGATTTGGGCTACCAGTTTGCTGTGGTTTGTGGGGCGCGGTACAATAAGAGAGGAAACAACATGGTGACCTGGGGAGCTTAGGGAGCTTAGGGAACCTAGGGGAGAGGTGAGGCTTAGGGAGGTAACCCCGGAGTCTGGTGAGGACCCTGTGATACAACGGTCCTTGGACCGTGCAGCTGCTCTGGCCAAGCTTGCCGGTGGCAGCATCGCGCCTTCGGAGACGTTTGGGTGCTTTACCAGGACTATGTGGGTGTAGGGTACACAGGAGCTGAAAAAGGCGGTTGCAGAGGCTACGTGGGCGGCCTACAAGTGCAAGGGCTGGCCTTTCAGGATCCGGGCGGAGCATCGCGGGCAGTTCGTCCACCAGGGTGGTAGGCATGTGTTGCACGATACTCATAGTCGGACCAAGCACGCAGGTGGGCTCCCATAAGCCGTTGCGTAGCGAATCCCTGGATTCTTTGCCAATCCAGCTGCAATAAGCATCTCCGTAGAGCTCCCACTCTTGCAGCAACTGATCTGTTGCTGAGCTCGTCAGGTTGATCCCGTAGTTGCATTCGGAATTGTGTGATGAAAAACTCTCTTGCTTCGGCCAACTCCTCCCCCTCCAAAATGATGGAAGAGTCGGACCAGTAGCCGTCGTTGGTCGCAACCTCCTCTTCGCCATCCAGTTCCATGTCGCCGTCGTTCTCAGCTGTGGTGGAAGAGGATGAAGAGGAGGTTGTAGGCCGGGGACGCCTCGCTGGCGTGACGGCTGGGCTGCTCATTCGGATCGGGACCGTTGACAGGTTTCGGGCGCGGAGGCCCTGCAGGTCTGTATCCCGGATGGTCTGCTGGAAGTTCTCCGTCTCGTGCTGCATCTCTGGGAGTGTTATCAGGGCCTTCCAGTTCAGAAGAAGAGGGATCAGCCGTGCCATCACTCGAGGCAGCATCTTCCATGCAGCTGTCACCGAAGAAGAGCAACAACAACCGCGGAGCCCCGAACAGCAAAAGAAGAAGAAACCACGTTCGGGCTTCAAGAGCTGCGAGCCGAGGGGCTTCATCAGCATTGTCATCAGCATCATCACCACCATCATCATCATCATCATCGAATCCTCATCTACAGGTCGCTTTTATTTGGCGTCCATGTCGCCCAAGCCTGGGTGCTGCGTTGTGTGCACTCGCAAGGTCTTGCGGAGTTTGATTTGCTGCATTTGTATTTGTTCCTGTGGCCCCAGACAGTGCTCAGCCTGTTGATTGAGTCACTGCAGCTATGCACTCTTGGTGCTCCGGACATGCCAAGATCTTCCACACAGCAACGTGTCAAAGTGTCTTGCGCGAAGCCGGCATCATGACTCCGATGCCATGCAGTGGCGCTCCGACTGGCATGGAGATGTGGGCGCATGGGCTGGTTCGTGATGACTACCAGTCCTTTGGCGAGTGCTGCTCGCCCTCGGAGAGACTCAGCTGAAAACAGGTTCCAGTCTGTTGCATGCAGGCAACATCTACAGTGAACCCCATACAAGAGATTCAGGTCGAGTCTGCCACGGTCGCCGATGTCATGGAATGGAGCTCCGACTGGTGCGGAGATGTGGCGGGATGCTACGCCAGGACCGATTCTTGAGGACTCCCTGTCCTCTGGTGAATACGGTTCGTGCCGGAAGAAACTCAGCTGCAGCTGTGCAGCTGGCATCTACATGGAACTCCGGTTGAAAAAACTCAGGTGGAGCTCGCCACCTTACTGGTCTCTGGTCGAGCAGTTCAGCAAGTTGATCAAAGAGAAGGATCTGCTGCTGAACGAGTCGCCGAGCTGTTCTTCAGCAGTATCCATGAAGGATGAGGTAGTCCTACTGCGACGCAGTGCCTGAAGGCATGATGTGCGAGCCTCGCTCAGGTGCTACGATCTTTGCAACGACAACCAGGCCCTTCGGATTGACAACGAGAAGCTGCACGAAGCGCTTCTCAACTGCAGTTGCTTCGATTCGTGGCCTCTGTAGAGTTCCCGAAACGACTAAAAGTAATTAGCATCTTGGTGCACAAGCGGCGGCTCTACCTCGATAGATTTCCAGGAGCCTGCTTCGACGACTTGAAGTCGTGTCCCAATAACAAGTTGTTATCCTTTAGCCGTTGAGGGACATGCCTGGCGCGAACACACTGTGTTTGTTCTGCGACGCTTGCAGCCTCAGGCTTCGCATCCAGGGCCAGGAGCTTGAGAGGGTCGCGAAGCTTATGCGCGATGACAAGATGCAGCCTGTCGGCACGCGATTTCAATTCTGCAGCCATTGCCTCGCTTTGCGGTTTCGGCAGAGTCAGAAACGGTGCACTCAGCGCAATCCTCGTTGCTCAGGACCATGCCGCTGCACAAATGCTCTTCCGACAATGCCGCTCTGCCAAGCCTTGAACCGGGGTTTGCTCGGCTCACTGTAGGTGGTTGCCTGGACCAAGGTGTTTGGGTAACGACGCGAAGCCACACAGCCGTACCTCCCGCGATCAGCTTCTCGGCTGATGTTTCGCGCTGGATGGGGGGCCCAAATGCCGGCTGAGCGGCCGCAAGTCGAATCGCACCAGGAAGCGGCTCAGCGACGCTTCGACGACTTGCTCTGACAGAGAGCAGCCTCCCAAGGCCAGAAGCGGGCCAAGCCTATGGCTGCCGCATGCGCCGCGTGCTTGTCAGGCGTTCTATGACAGGAATGACCTCGTGGCAAGGATGCATGGGGAGAGCCCTCGCAGGTGCCTGGCAAGAGCAGAGCAGCACTTCATTTCCAAAATCCTCCCAGCAGCTGTGGGCCTGGCTGTCCCTGGAGGTCCATCACGGATTTGCCGCTGGAAGCTCTCAGGACTCCACCGTGCCCCGTCGAGCAGCATGAGTGTCGCATCTTGAAGCCCATCACGACGAGTGCATTCCACATTTCTGCAACGTACCGAGTACCCAGTTCGCCCCCCAACACCACGTATTCTATCAACTTGCAGTGTGACCACAAGCACTGGAGAGTCGCTGTATTGGTGTCCAACGTGTGAATCGCTGCTCCGAGATACGGACGCATGGCATGCAGCATGATGTCTAGGCCTAGGCCTTTGGATGACACCTTGATAGAAGCCATGCCTTAGACTCTAGATTCCTGCAAGATGTTGCTGATGCAAGGCCATCGCCATCAAAACACCGCGGCGAGCTGCCTGAAAACCCTGGTGATGCGCTGCCTGTCCATCAGCCGGGGGCTTAAAGTCGAAAGTCGAGGGCCTCTGTATCGAGGCAGCGCACTGCTGGCACGTGGCCAGCGTGCACTGCGCAACCGACTCCCAGGGGCGCACAGGGACATGCCTTACTTTCACCAGGGGTTTGCGTGGGGCGGATGGTGACTTGCTATGACGATGTTACACCGCAGATAAAGACATGACCTGTGCAAGCTCCATTGAAGAGAGGAAAGAAACTGTTCTCAGAAACTCCCATCACCCAGGCTGCACAGCTGAGCCTTTCCGCGTTTCTTTCGCGGGTTTGAGGTAGCGGCCTGGACCAAGTTTCCGGAGAAACACTGCTCGGCTGATGTTTCGCTTTGGAGCCGGGCACGATGACTGGGGCGCAGGTAGGGGAGTCAGATCGGAAGAAGCGAACCGCACAAAAACAGCTTTGGCACGGCACGCGAGGTCTGTCCAGCCGCATCTAGGGCAGACAAAGAAGTCTCCGGATCTGTCCGAGTTGCACAGCTCGGGAGTGGATATCAAATCCCGGTTCGGGCGAGAAGAAGGTTGGGTGGCAGTGACCTATGTCGCATTCTGTCATCGTGCGTGCCCAAGGCAAAGCAAAAGATGCCACTTGCCCTACTTGCGCCATTTGCTTCACTTGAAGTGGACTTTGGATTCGGGCAAGTGGAGCAAGTGCCCTCCCTGGTCCCCCGCCCTTACCCCCACCTTCTTGGGGCATGCAGGGATCGCCTGCGTCCTGAAAGTTGTCTTGAAGCTTTGGAGATACACAGATGCCCCAGGCTGACCCATACTGTACTGGGTGTAGACTACCTTAGCGTAAGTGATTCCATGATGGAGAGTACAGTCCCCGGCCTTTGCCTCGCCTGAGAACCTGACTTGCTACCAGAGCCGGTGTGTGTGTGTGTGTGTGTGTGTGTGTGTGTGTTCAACGGCAGCAGATACACCGCATGCAATTCATGGGTCTATCTGTGTGCGCCAAGGCACAGACAAGACGATTCACCTTGTCGCTGGCCCTGCGAAAGCAGCGGCAACGACTCTCTGAAGGACGCAAGCAGAGTGTCTCACCGACAATACTTCGCTCACCACCCGTAGGAGCCGCCAGATCCTGCGCCTCACCACGAGGCATACCGCTTGCATCCACCATAGAGGCTGCTGAGCGGCTGAGCGCATTCCAGAATTGTCTAGAACTGCCCTGAGGCCTGCAGTTCGAAGACCGAGATGAAGGACGACGAGCAGCCTAACATCGAGGCCCTGCGGATAGAAGTGCGACAGGAACACATCCATCTTGATCCGTGCATTGAAAGGAAAATCTGCCTGGAGCGCTCCGGGCCGAAGGGACCGCAAGTCCCGTTGAGATGCCGCTTCGGCTGCTCAGAGGATTTTCACATTTCTGCAAGGCATCGGGGACCCGCCATTTCGCCTGCCAACAATCACGCATTCCATAGACTTGAAGTGTCACCACAAGCACTGGAGAGTCGCCCTGTTTGTGTGAAGCATCTACAGCAATGCGCCAAGATTCCAAAGCATTGCATTCAGCACGATGTCTAGGCCTAGGCCCTTGGATGACACCTTGATAGAAGCCATGCCTTAGGCTTCAGATTTCTGCAAGATGTCGCTGTTGCGAGGCCATCGCCATCAAACCGCAGCAGCGAGCTGCCTGGAACCCCTGGCGATGCCCTGCCTGTCCATCAGCCGGGGGCTTAAAGTCGAATGTATCGCAGCGCACTGCTGGCACGTGGCCAGCGTGCACTGCGCAACCGACTCCCAGGGGCGCACAGGGACATGCCTTACTTTCACCAGGGGTTTGCGTGGGGCGGATGGTGACTTGCTATGACGATGTTAAGCGCCTCAGCGACGCTTCTTTGAGGACCCCCTGCGACTTCGACGGAGAGCAGCCTCCCAAGGCCGGAAGCGCAGTCACAGGGCCAAGCCTGGGAAATTCTGGCTGCCGCATGCGCCGCGTGCTTGTCAGGCGTTCTATGACAGGAATGACCTCGTGGCATGGATGCATGGGGAGAGCCCTCGCAGGTGCCTGGCAAGAGCAGAGCAGCACTCCAGTCCAAAATTCTCCCAGCAGCTGTGGGCCTGGCTGTCCCTGGAGGTCCATCAGGAAATTGCCGGCGGAAGCTCTCATGACTCCACCGTGCCCCGTCGAGCAGCATGAGTGTCGCATCTTGAAGCCCATCACGACGAGTGCATTCCACATTTCTGCAACGTACCGAGTACCCAGTTCGCCCCCCAAAACCAGGTATTCTATCAACTTGCAGTGTGACCACAAGCACTGGAGAGTCGCTGTATTCTTTGTGAAACGTGTGAAACGCTGCCCCAAGATACGGGCGCACGGCATGCAGCAGGATGTCTAGGCCTAGGCCAAGGCTTGTGCATGACGCCTTGATGAAAGCTATGCCTCAGACAGTGTTTTTTGTCCATCAGCCGGGGGCTTAAAGTCGAGAGTCGAGGCCTTTGGAGACATTGCTGAGCTATCCCCACCTTTCTGGGAATAGGAAGGTTGGGTGACTTGTTATGACTGACTATGTCACCTCATTGATGAAGGCACGGCTTGTGTAAGCTCCCGTGAAGAGAGGAAACTGTTCTCCAAAAAAATACCATCACCCAGGCTATGCCCTTCCAGGAGGAGCAGGGAGATCAGCTACTCGGCTGATGGTTCGCTTCGGAGCCGGGCACGATGACTGAGGCGCCGGTGGGGGAGTCAGATCGCAGCCTTTGCACGGCACACCGCTGATGTTGCAGCGCGCCGATTCACCACGATAGAAACTGAAACACAAGTTGAATCTTCAAATCATCAATATCCTGAAGCTCGGGGGGGGGGGGGAGCAGGGCGGAGGGGCTCGCGGGGAGTGAGGCCAGGTCGAAAAAAACGCGCTGCTGAAATGTGTTCTCCAATATCCTGAAACTTGGGGAGGGGGGGGAGGAGTGAGGTAAAATTGGCGTGATACTGAGAGTGTCCTGCATCGCAAGCAGCAGCTGAAGCAGCAGCATACACAGATGCTCCAGGCTGCCCCACCGGGTGCAGAATAGCTGAATAGCTAACACAGAGCGATTAAAAAAAGGGGATGGATAGGAACGTTCCCTGCTTTGGCCCAGGGTGAGAACCTCACGAAATCAACAGCCGTGGACACAACGCATGCAATTCATGGGTTCGGTCTACGTGCCAAGGCACAGACAAGAAGACGAAACCTGTGCGTCTTCACCTCAGAGTACTTGCGACACTGACGGCAACAACTCTCCGAAGGACGCAAGCAGAGTGACCTCGCCGACCATACTTCAGCACTTGTGCGGCTCAGCCGTAGGAGCTTCCAGACCCGGAGCAGCCCAACATCAAGGCCTGTGGATCTAAGTGCGACAAGAGCACGTCCACGGGCCCTTTAGATGCTTGCGTCGCACACGGGCGCACGGCTTTTGCCGATCTTTTTCACCCGGCATGCGATTTGTTGCGACTCGGCCTCGCAAGTTCCCAGAGAACGGGCAAGCCAAGCACAAAGCGCATTCTCCAGCTTTTTCTGCACCGTGCCGAGGCCTGCTCTTTTGGAGTACTTCTCTGCGGCTCGTCTGCAATGCCAGATTCCAGCAAAGTGCCCTGAGTGGTAGCACAGCGCGACAGTCCAGGTGCCAGACATCCTAGCCTGGCGTGTGACATCCGAACAAACCCGGAGTCCCGAGGCGGGGCCAAGAGCACGTGGCAAAAGGACTAATTGAGAGGCTTGGGGCAGGGTGCGTGAGGCTTCAATTGAAGCGTCCTGTCGAGTTTCACGCCAAGGTCTTGTTACGGCATGTCGCCGAGCTTGGCAGGTTCGACACGCCGAGTCCTTAGCTGAATTATTTGCGTGCTCGTGCTGATTGAAGTGCGAGGAAAGTGTCGGGAATATTCTGATAAGCGCAGGTCCGATGCAGTCGTCGCATTTTCGGATGGGGTGGACCGCATTCTCTCAGACTCCGAACCTTTTCCCGACGATGTCGAACGCAAGAAGCGCTTCGATTGCCTCTTGATTGATGAGAGCAATGTTAAAGCTAGATTTCTACCGTGGGGAGATCCTTCTTCCTACAGTCCACAGTCTCGCTTGGTCTTCATCTCAGGTCAGGACTGGTGCGTGATGCTTGCGAGAACCAGCACAACCCATTTTTCTGAAGATTATGTCCGCCAAACCGTCGGCAACAACCTCGCTGACTTGTTAACTCACTGCCTGGACTCTGATGAAGGTGTGCGTGCGGCAGCGCACCATATCATTCAAGAGCATGCCTTGGGCGCCCTCGGCTTCGTGAAGGAGCTGATCGCAGACACCGTGCTCCGTCAGATGACAGACATCTTGTCAACCGGCAGGGAGACACAGACGACCTGGAGGCTCATGGCACCGTACATGGCCCATCTCGAGCCGCTCCTGCGATGGCTGACGAAGAGTCAGCGTCAGGATTGGGCATCTCTGCTTGTCAATTTCTTACATAGCCTTCAATCAACATCAGCTCAAACCAGAGCTACTTACCAGAAGCTGGCGGTTGGTCATCTGAAGCTCCTGTGCTTCGCGGATGACGATGCCAGTCGAACCTATGCAGATGAAAGGCGGCAGCTCCTGGCCTTGTCGGACTCCCCGGACTTTGAAGAGGTGAAGAACGGCATTGCAAGTCTGTTCCGTTGCTAACGTCTGTCTCACCAGCAGCACAATGCACAGCGCTGTGCAAAAAACCTGCAGTGCAAAGTAGCAGTTCTGCATCCTAAACCCTAAACCCAAAACCCTTCTGCGCCAAGGCGATACTCGGTTCCTTTCTTTCGGGTCGGGGCCTATGCTACTGTTAAAATACCTGCCTCATCATAAGCAAGTGGCAGGGAGAATTTCTCGTTGCATCATACTTCGATGAAGCTGTCGCCTGCGAACTCTCCCAGTCGCCAAAGGGAGCAGCTGTTTTTGGGGATCTGCAAGCCCTGATGTGATGCTGGATTACTCCAGTGACACGGAACTATATAGTATGTCTTTGTTCATTGGATTGCAGCACAGCCATTCCTGCTGCAGACGTTGCTTGGCTGGCAAAGTTCCAGGCTCCGGGATGATCCACGGTGCGTTAACTGTACGAAGCAGGCAGACAGCTTCGCCAGGCTTTCAGCTATGTCCCCCAAAGCCCTCGCTCCACCACAACTGCTGCTGAGGAGTAGCTTGACATGCATTTCGGATTTTGAAGTTAGCCTTATGACGCCCTGAATAAGGGCAGAGTAACACCTTCCTCAACGCAGCTGACGGAGCCAATCGCATAGGGCTGGGCTGGGCACAGACCCAAAACCCGATGTCACAGGATTGCTTTGCCCTGGAACCCTTCAAGCGCAAGATCCTATGCCCGAAGTTATCGATTAGGACTTGTCGTTATCATCAACATCATCACCAGCACCACCATCGGTACCATCACCATCATCGTTATCATGATCATGATTGCATCATGGCCATCATCATCATCATCATCATCGTAATTTTCCATTGTCATCATCAATGTCATTGTGATAATCATCATGACCATGTCTTCATCAGTGATGGCCATACCATAATCATCGTCATCACCATCGTTCTCTGCATCAACATCATCATCTCCATCGAAACATAATCATCGAACCCTGTGTAATCATCGAATCATCATCATCTTCGAGTCATCGTCGTCATCGTCATCGTGGAAATCAGCTCCGAATCACCGTCACCATCACCACCACCATCGCATCGTCATCGTCATCATCATCATCATCACCAGCATCCTATTCTTCATCTTCTGCATCACTAACTAACGTCATCATCAGCATCACCATCAACACCAGCATCAATGTGCGTCAGTGTCACCATGCGCATCTGCATCACCATCGCCATCATCTCTGTCACCAGCACCAAGACCACCATCGCCAGATCCATCACCATACCATCCATCACCGACTAGCATTTCCAGCTTGACCAACAGCAGCATCATCATAATCATCTGCGCAGTGGTCATCATCATCACATCATCGTATTCGTTATCAGCATCACAATCCTTGTCATCGTCTTCTTCTTCAGCATCACCACCATCCATCTTCAAGATGATCCCCCTGGTCGTCCTTGTCCACGTCGTCGCCAATTCGGCTCAGCATCCGTGTGCCAGAGGATACGTGCACTTGCCAAGTCTCGGGCTCCTCCGTCTGAACTGGTGAGTGTGGACAGGTTGGGGGGTGGGGCTTATATGGTTAGGATTCAGGGGTGAGGGTCTAGGGTGTTTTCCTGATCCAAGTTGTCGAGTTCAGGCTACATGTATTGGCATTGAAGCTTTAAGGGGCTATGGAGGCCAACAATAACAGCAGCAGTGATATCGAGGGCCATCATATTAATAGCGCAAAAGGCGGCAACAGCTTAAGGCAGTGCCGGTTGTGGTTATGTGCGACTACTGGTTCAAAGCTTCGAAGCAGACCCATATTTGGCCACTGATGGAAGTTTGACATGCGAGCTGAACAACCGCTTAGTGTGGGCCTAGTACTTGCGCAGCGTTTGGTGCGGCTTGAGAGCAAGATTATGATGGAGAACCATGCAGGTATGACGATGTCTGTGAACATTTAGCGAAGGCTCTCTATATAAGCTCTAGATCTAAACCTCTAGGTAGGTAGATTCTTTACAGGTTTGGGAAAGCGAAGCAGCAGTAGCGGGAGGAGGGGGAGGAGGAGGAGGAGGAGGACGAGGAGGAGGAGGAGGAGGAGGAGGAGGAGGAGGAGTCATAGTGGGGCTGATGGGCAAAGTCTTGCACTTTCGGTGTGGCCTGAATTAGCCCTAAACTCTAAACCCTGAGTCCTTAACCGAAAAGGCTCGTTCCAAATAGAAGCCCTAAACCGAAGCTCACCTACAGGTCGGCTTTAGTGGGGGCCATGTCGCCGGAAGCCTGGGTGCTGCGTTGCGTGCACTGCAGAGTTTGATTTGCTTCGTTTGCATTTGTTCTTGTGGCCCCAGACAGTGCTCAGCCTGTTGATTGAGTCACTGCAGCTATGCACTCTTGGTGCTTCGGACATGCCAAGATCTTCCACACAGCAACGTGTCCAAGTGTCTTGCCAGAAGCCTGCATCATGACTCCGATGCCATGCAGTGGTGCTCCGACTGGCATGGAGATGTGGCCGCATGGGCTGATTCGTGGTGACGACCAGTCCTTTGGCGAGCGCAGGTCGCCCTCGGAGAGACTCAGCTGAAAACAGGTTTCAGGCCGTTGCATGCAGGTAACATCTACAGGGAACCCAATACAAGAGATTCAGGTTGAGTCTGCCATGGTCGCCGATGGCATGGAACGGTGCTCCGACTGGCACAGAGACGTGGCGGAATGCTACGCCAGGACCGATTCTTCATGTCTCCCCGTCTTCTGGTGAAGATTCGTGCCGGAAGAAACTCAGCTGAAAAAGACATGTTCCAGCCCAGCCCTTCTTTGCATGCAGCCGTGCAGCTGGCATGTACATGGAACTCCGTTTGAAAAAACTCAGGTGGAGCTCGCCACCTTACTGAACTCTGGTCGATCAGATCAGCAAGTTGATCAAGGAGAAGGATCTGCTGCTGAAGCAGTCGCCGAGCTGTTCTTCAGCAGTATGCATGAAGGATCTGCGACGCTATGCTGGAAGGCATGCTGTGCGAGCCTCGCTCAGGTGCAGCGATCTTCGCAGCGACAACTAGGCGCTTCGGATTGACAACGAGAAAGTGCACGAAGCGCTTCTCAACTGCAGTTGCTTCGATTCGCGGCCTCTGTAGAGTTCCCGAAGCAAGTAAACACAGTTAGCGTCTTGTTGCCTAAGCTTTGAAGAGAGTGATGGCTGCCCTTACCTCGACAGAGCGTCAAGCAGGTCTCATCCAGGAGCCTGCTTCGACGCTCTGAAGTCCTAGCAGGGTGTCCCAATCACAAGTTGTTTAACCTTTAGCCGTTCAGGGACATGCCTGGCGCGAACCCACTGTGTTTGTTCTGCGACGCTTGCAGCCTCATACAGCATCCCTGAAGGCTTCGCATCCAGGGCCAGGAGCTTGAGAGGGTCACGAAGCTTATGCGCGATGACAAGATGCAGCCTTTCGGCACGCGATTTCAATTCTGCAGGCATTGCCTCGCAGATGTTGTTACTTTGCTGTCTCGGCAGAGCCAGCTATGGAAACGGTGCACTCGGCACAATCCTCGTTGCTCAGGACCTTTTTCTACATTTCTGCAACGTACCGAGTACCCATTCCGCACACCAAAAGTCACGTATATTCTATCAATTTGCAGTGTGACCACAAGCACTGGATCCAGAGTCGCTGCATTTGTGTGAGACGTGTGAAACGCTACCCCAAGATCCGGACGCATGACATGCAGCATGATGTCTATAGTAGGCCTGCGGATGACACCTTGATTAAAGCCATGCCTTAAGATTCCTGCAAGATGTTGCTGATGCAAGGCCATCGCCATCAAAGCACCGCGGCGAGCTGCCGGAAAACCCTGGTGATGCGCTGCCCGTCCATCAGCCGAGGGCTTAAAGTCGAACGTATCGCAGCGCACTGTGGCCAGCGTGCACTGTGCAACCGACTCCGAGGGGCACGCAGGGACATGATTTCGCGGGTTTGAGGTAGCTGCATGGACGAAGTTTGCGGCGAAACACTACTCGGCTGATGTTCGCTTTGGAGCCGGGCACGATGACTGGGGAGTCAGAAGGGAAGAAGCGAACTACGCAGAAAAACAGTGTTGGCACGGCACGTGAGATCTGTCCACCGGCATCTAGGGCAGACAAGGACGCTTCTGGATCTGTCCGAGTTGCACAGCTCGGGAGTGGGTATCAAATCCCGGGTCGGGTGAGAACAAGGTTGGGTGGCAGTGACCGATGTTGCAATGTTGCATTCTGTCATCGTGCCCAAGGCAAAGCAAAATATGCCACTTGCCCTACTTGCGCCATTTGTTTCACTGGAAGTGGACTTTAGATTCGGGCAGGTGGAGCAAGTGCCGTCCCTAATCCCCCGCCCTTACCCCCAGCTTCTTGGGCCATGCAGGGATCGCCTACGTCGTGAAAGTTTTCTTGAAACTTTGGATTGCTCCTGCCTGGGCAGGAGCTGAAGCCGCAGCATACACGGATGCGCCGGGCTGCCCCATACTGTCCTGGGTGTAGACTTCCCAAGGGTAAGTGATTCATTCATGGAGAGTACAGTCCCCCTTGCCTCGCGTGAGAACCTGACTGGGGCGTGTTGCTACCAGAGCAGGGGTGTGTGTTCAGCGGCAGCAGATACACCACATGCAATTCATGAGTTCGGTCTGTATGCGCCAAGGCAAAGACAAGAAGATTCACCTTCTCGCTGTCCCTGCGAAGGCAACGGCGACGACTCTCTGAAGGACGCAAGCAGAGTTTCTCACCGACAATACTTCGGCACTTGAGCGGCTCACCACCCGTAGGAGCCGCCAGACCCTGCGCCTCACCACGAGGCATACCGCTTGCATCCACCGTAGAGACTGCTGAGCGCGCATTCCCAGAATTGTCTAGATCTGCCCTGAGGCCTCCAGCTCCGAGACCGAGATGAAAGACGACGAGCAGCCTAACATCGAGGCCATGCGGGTATAAGTGCGACAGGAAAACATCCATCTGGATCCGTGCATTGAAAGGATCTCCCTGGAGCGCTCCGGGCCGAAAGGACCGCAGGTCCCCTTGAGATGCCGCTTCGGCTGCTCAGAGGATTTACATTTCACATTTCTGCAAGGCCTCGGGCACCCGCCATTTCGCCTGCCAACAATCACGTATTCCATAGACTTGAAGTGCGACCACAAGCACTGGAGAGTCGCCCTATTTGTGTCAAACATCTAAAGCAATGCGCCAAGATTCCAAAGCATAGCATTCAGCACGATGTCTAGGCCTAGGCCTTTGGATGACACCTTGATAGAAGCCATGCCTTGGACTTTAGACTCCTGCAAGATGTCGCTGTTGCGAGGCCTCGCCATCAAAGCAGCATGATGTCTAGGCCTAGGCCAAGGCCTGTGCATGACGCCTTGATGAAAGCTATGCCTTAGACCGTTTTTTTGTCCATCAGCCGGGGGCTTAAAGTCGAGAGTCGACATTGCTGAGCTATCCCCACCTTCCTGGGAATAGGAAGGTTGTGCGACTGGTTATGCCTGACTATGTTACCTCATTGATGAAGGCACGGCTTGTGTAAGCTCCCGTGAAAAGAGGGAACTGTTCTCCAAAAATACCATCACCTAGGCTGTTCTGCACCGAGTTGTCGGGTTCAAAGGTAGCTGCATGGACCAAGGTTTCCGGGAGAGGCGGAGACCCGGAAAGGGACGCTGCCCTTCGAGGAGGAGTAGGGAGATCAGCTACTCGGCTGATGGTTCGCTTCGGAGCCGGGCACGATGACTGAGGCGCCGGTAAGGGAGTCAGGTGGGAGCCTTTGCACGGCACACCGCCGATGTTGCAGCGCGCCGGTTCACCACGATAGAAACTGAAACACATTTAAATCATCAACATCCTGAAGCTCGGGGGGGGTCAGGGCGGGGGGGCTCGGAGGAAGCGAGGCGGGGTCGAAAAAACCGCGCTGCTGAAATGCTGAGAGTGTTCTCCAGTATCCTGAAACGTGGGGGGAGGAGTGAGGCCAGGTCGAAAAGAACGCGCTGCTGTTTGCAAAAAGGAATATGGGGGAGGGTAGTAACACTGTTAAAATTGGGGTGATGCTGAGAGTGTCCTGCATCGCAAGCAGCAGCTGAAGCAGCAGCATACACAGACGCTCCAGGCTGCCCCACCGGGTGCAGAATAGCTGAATAGCTAACACAGAGCGATTGAATCGGGATGGATAGGAACGTTCCCTGCTTTAGCCCAGGGTGAGAACCTCACGAAATCAACAGCCGTGGACACAACGCATGCGACTCGGCCTCGCAAGTTCTCAGAGAACAGGCAAGCCAAGCACCAAGCGCATTCTCCAGCTTTTTCTGCAAGTGCCGAGGCCTGCTCTTTTGGAGTACTTTTCTGCGGCTGGTCTGCAATGCCAGATTCCAGCAAAGCGCCCTGAGTGGTAGCACAGCGCGACAGCGACTCGCGATGCCTTGGCGATGCTGAGATTCTCGCGCTTGCCTCCAGGTGCCAGATATCCTAGCCTGGCGTGACACATCCGAACAGACCCGGAGTCCCGAGGCGGGGACAAGAGCACATGTGGAAAGGACTAATTGAGAGGCTTGGCGCAGGGTGAGTGAAGCTTCAATTGAAGCGCCCTGTCGAGTTTCATGCCAAGGTCTTGTTACGGCATGTGGCCGAGCTTGGCAGGTTGGACACGCCGAGTTCTTAGCTGCCTTGGCTGAATGATTTCCGTGCTCGTGCTATTTGCAGTGCGCGGAAATTGGTGGGAATACCCTGATAAGCGCAGGTCCGATGCAGTCGTCGCATTTTCTGCTGGGGTGGACGCATTCTCTCAGACTCCGAACCTTTTCCCGACGATGCCGAAGGCAAGAAGCGCTTCGATTGCCTCTTGATTGTCTGGATTGGTGCGTGATGCTTGCGAAAGCGGACACGACCCATTTTTCTGAAGATTATGTCCGCCAGACCGTCTGCAAAAGCCTCACTGACTTGTTAACTCACTGTCTGGACTCTGATGAAGGCGTGCGTGCGGCAGCGCACCATATCATTCGACAGCATGCCTGGGGTGCCCTCGGCTTCGTGAAGGAGCTGATCGCAGACACCGTGCTCAGTCAGATGACAGACATCTTGTCAACCGATAGAGGGACACAGACGACCCGGAATCACATTTTGCGGTACATGGACCATCTCGAGCCGCTCCTGCGATGTCTGACGAAGCGTCAGCGTCAAAATTGGGCATCTCTGCTTGTCAAATTCTTGCACAGACTTCAACCAGCATCAGTTCCGAACAGAGCTGCTTGCCACAAGCTGGTGGTTGATCATCTGAAGCTCCTCTGTTTTGCGGATGACGATCCCAGTCGAACCTACGCAGATGAGAAGCGGCAGCTCCTGGCCTTGTCGGACTCCCCGGACTTTGCAGAGGTGAAGAACAGCATGGCAAGTCTATTCCGTTGCTAACGTCTGTCTCACAAGCAGCACAATGCAATACAATGCACAGCGCTGTGCAAAAAACCTGCAGTGCAAAGTAGCAGTTCTACATCCTAAACCCTAATTCCCAAAACGCTTCTGCGCCAAGGCGATACTCGGATGTGAAGGATTCCTCCTCATCTGCCTGGGCGTCCCGCTCTTGGCCACCATGGTGCAGTGCGTTCGAAGACTGGTTACTGTAACAGACTCAGAATGCTCAACCCATCCAACTTGATAAGACCGGGCAGGAGAGTATTCCGCCCGCCGCCTGGGCTGGAGGAGACCTTGCCTCCAATTTCTTTCAGAATTTCAGGTGA